CCTGGATTTCGGGCAGTGTTATGATCTGAGGTTGCTTCAGTTGGTCAGGTCTAGGTTCAGCAACATTATGTCCCCAAAAAATGAGGTCAGCTGTCTACCTGAATATACTGAATGGCCAGGTTTTTCCATAAATGGATTTTTTCTTCCCTGGTGGCACATTGGACATATTCCAAGATGACAATGCCAGGATTCATTAGGCTCAGATTGTGAAAGAGCGGTTCAGGGAACATGAGACATCATCATCACACATGGATTGGCCCTGCCCTGACCCCATAGTTCTCCTTTAACCCCATTAAGAATCTTTGGGATGTGCTGGAGAAGACTTTACGGAGAGGTCCGACTCTCCCATCATCACTACAAGGGAAATTAAAGCAACTCTGGATGGAAATAAATGTTGTGACATTGCATAAGCTTATCGAAATGACGCCACGGAGAATGTGTGCCGTAATCACGGCTAAAGGAGGCCCAACGAAATATCAGAGCGTGTTAATTTATTTGGCCAGGCAGTGTATTTAGACAATGGGCACAACCCTGCCACCACCCCAATTATGTGGACCATTAAGAATCTATATGCTAAAAATGATTGTTGAAACCCAGAATTGTTTTTTTTTCCACCATTACTTTTCCTTTTATACCGTTTTTTAAAATAGCAGACAAGATAAGATGAAGGTTTTGGTGCCGAATAACACTTATTGTAGAACTTTTTCATAGCTATCTGGACATCAGACCAAAAAGAGGAACAAATGAGAAGGAAATAGGGACAAAGGGGTTTGGTTCCAAAAAAGGGTTAGGCAGAAGGTATGTGTGCTTGGACTGGAGCAGCAAGAGAGGCTTTCCTCGTCATCTCAGGCTCCCCTTAAGGGTACGTGACAGGTGATGTCACTTAAGGTCCTACATATCAGACAAGCTGACCAGCACTGGTTTAGACCCAGGGACTGAGGGACAAGCAGCCGGGATAATAAACAAGATCTGCTGCCAGCACACCATAGGTCTGTTTATAAAGTCCAATTTTCATTGAGGAGATCACATCACAAAGCAAATAGTGCAACATTTCAGGATCCTGCAGAACATTATGAGATCACATGTGATGAGATCACATGCCTGACAAAGGGGCCCAGCTTGTAATAACTCATTAAAGCCACTAGGTGGCCCTAAAATATTAGCAGAAAATAAGCATTTTTTCCCCCTATGCTCCACAGCTCCCTATAGTAGCCATAATGCGCTATAAAGCAGAACATTAGAAATTAAATACACTTGTAAAGATAAAAGCTAAAGAACAAAGGTTCAGCGGTATTTGCAGTGTGAATGGCCCTGCAAACTGTTTATATATCAACATTTAATCTCTATGTTAAAAAAAAGAGAAAACTCCTGTGCTAATGCTGGCCATACACCAGTAACATTTCCTTTTGATCTTCCTGTGAGAATTCATAAAAATCATTTTTCGCTGCATTGGATGGTACCATCATGGATTTCAAAAATTTGGGATGATATTTACTTTGATTGCCATGCTCAAATTCTCATGTTCTATTCTGGCATTGTTTGCATGAATGAATGTGATAACTAACATTCTATTTCCAGATTAAAGTTTTCCCAGCACATTACAACGCTTAAAAGTTTCTGAGCCAAATTCACAGTTAGAATCCCCCCCAAAAATTTGCATCCTTGTCCTTCGATGTTTTGGCTCACCAATGCAGATTTGTCCCCATTAATTAGAAAATTGAAAGAACATTCCAAAAACAAACTTACAGCAACTCTTAGTTGATAATCTGCAGCTGCTGTGTTCAGTGAGGAAGCTAGACATTCTGTCACCCGAGGGCAAAGCTCAGAGTTGCTCCCCCCAAGGGAGAAGCTCTCCATCCACATCCACACACCCTGTGGTACCCCTCGTAAAGTGGCACCCGGGGCACGGCACATGCTCCCCCCAGCCCCCTCCCCCCCTAGCTTCGGCACTGGCTGTGTTATATCCTGATGAGGTATCTGACTTGACATAGTATAAAGACCCAGCTATTATACAAAATGCTTAAGCTGCCCGGCTTCCTGATTGGTCGGGAAGCTGGCCAATCAGGAAGCCAGGCGCCATGTAATGACGCAGCGCCCGGCATTCTGATTGGCCGGGAAGCTAGCTTCATGCTCCCTCATCATCTCATGAAATCAGAAAGGGCGTCGCATCATTACACGACGCCCGGCTTCCTGATTGGCCAGCCAGACGGCTCCGGCTGGGTACCGGAGGAAGGCCACAATTTGGCTGGAGAGGCCCCGGGGGATGACAGGCTGCACATACTAAGGTAAGAGGGGACTTTCTTGTTAAATCGGGAAGCCGGGTGGCGAGTGTTTACACGCTGCTCGGCTTCCCGGCTAATCAGGAAGCCAGGTGGCAAGCCATTACACGCCACCTGGCTTCCTGAATGGGACTTCCGTTACTCGGTAATTGGTATCGGCGAGTACCGGAAAAAAATTATCGGTACTCGGTACCAAAGTACCGGTATTGGTGCATCCCTAATTATTATGATTAAAATGACACTCAACTCAGGAGTTAAACCTTAAAAATGCATTCAAGTACCTGATGTAGTAACAAAAATCTATCTTATGTGTATATCACTCGGCTGTAGATCCTCCAATCATCTCAGAATTGGTGCCGACACTGTCCTTCCTTCTGGAGGGGGGGCTACATTTGTTCCCCATGGTCCCTGTGTGTCTTGTAAAGTAGTCATCACTCCAAACACGATCATGTGATGGACTACAATCTCAAAACAAACTAGTAAAGTACACATGAGATTGTAGTCCATCATAGGAGCGAGCTATGAGCAGTGACGACTGAAACAAACTCAAGGAATTCTTCAATGACAAGGCAAAAAGTTTGAAAATACAGTGTTTGGACCACGGAAGGATAAGTCATCTGAGGCAAAACCAGCTTGAAGGTCAAAACCTGTGCTAAGATCATAACACCAGTTTAGGCAACTTTCTTCAGTGGTTCTGATGTGTGGTCCTTGTCCCCCCCTACCCTCCATTATGTATTATGAATATTGAGCCGCATTATTACTGTGTGTTGTTTTTTTTTTAATTATATGACCATTGTTATTTGTCTTTACATGACTTTTCTGACATTTTGGTAAGAAGTCTCTTGAGTCACGGTACAGTAACAATTTTCCTATTTTGGTCCTCAGATTAAAACGTTTAAGAAACTCTGCTCTGATATGTTGTACAAATGTACATACCTTAAACCGGATATTTGCCAAAGGAGGAGAATGATGACAGTGATCACAATAATCACCACTACTGGTATTAGCACCCACCACATGTTCTTCATTCCTGGAACGATATATCGGTGTGTTTATTAATAACAGATATAAGTTATCTTCCGGAGGAAAGGACGATTGCACTAGGCTAAAAAATACATTTCAGTTTGGTTTACATCTTATAAATATTAATCTCTCACAGAGCTCACTACCACAATTTGAACCTCTCACTTCACCACACAACATCTGCAGCTCCCACTGTCCTCTGCAACAGGTTTAGCCCCCAATAGTACTACAACTACTTCAGCTCCCACTGTCCCCACCGTGATTTACAACACCTTCAGCTCCCACAATCAACTGCAACTCCATAGAAAACACTGTACACTACAACACCTTCAGCTCCCATTATCCCCTACAACACATACAGTGCACACTGATCCCTACAACAACTACCGCCCCTACTGTCCACTACAGCAACTTCAGGTCCTGCTGTCCCCTGCAACACCCACAGCCTTTACTGTGCCCTACAACACTTTCAGCTCCCACTATCCACAACAACTTCAGCTCCCACTATCTACTACAATACCTCAGCAAACACTGTACTCTAAAATGCTTTCAGCTCCCACTATCCAAAACAACACCTTCAGCTCCAACTATCTACAACAGCTTCAGCGCCCACTGTCCACAACACCTTCAGCTCCCTCTATCCAGAACACCTTCAGCTCCCTCTATCCACAGTACCTTCAGCTCCCACTATCCACAACACCTTCAGTCCCCACTGTCCACAGCACCTTCAGCTCCCACTATCGACAACACCTTCAGCTCCCACTATCCACAACACCTTCAGCTCCCACTATCCACAACACCTTCAGCTCCCTCTATACACAGTACCTTCAGCTCCCACTATCCACAACACCTTCAGTCCCCACTGTCCACAACACCTTCAGCTCCCTCTATCCACAGTACCTTCAGCTCCCACTATCCACAACACCTTCAGTCCCCACTGTCCACAACACCTTCAGCTCCCACTATCCAAAATAACACCTTCAGTGCCCACTGTCCACACCACCTTCAGCTCTCTCTATCCACAACACCTTCAGCTCCCACTCTCCACTAAAACAAATTCAAGAACTGGACTGCTGTTGGGTATAATATACATTGGGTGAATCTGTTTTCTTCCCCCCGCTGGGACAAAGCACAGGGTGACATTAAAGGGCACATTCATAATATTCTTGGAAAGGCATGAATATGAGATAAAACAAATAATTCAGAGAGATAAACAGCATGCGACATACCTGCTGCAGCTGGTATTTTAATAGTTAGTATGAGTGGACTGGGGAAGGCTGGATGATGAACAGTGCATGTTGCTTCAGTCTCATTGTCCTCCACAGGGGTGTAGGTGCTGATCACTGTAGAGGTTTTGTTCTTTTCTATGGAAGTTGTATCACTGACTTCATTGAGCAACGCTGAGTTCCACCATACAGTGGTGGCAGGATGCCCTCCAACAGCTCGGCACTCGGCAGACCTGGAGCCGGTTAGCGTTATTAATGCAAATGGTTTAGCTGAAAAGAGGAGAAATTCTGTTTTATACACTGCTTGCATTGTGCAATACCACTGAACTCCAAGTAAGTTGTTTAATACAGAGATGAAATATATTACATATATGGGATCTGCTTTACCTGCCAGAAGATTTTTACTTTTGTCCAGCCAGTCCTTAGATTTACACATCCCTGCCAGACAATGTAACAAGGTTGATGACCAGACTTTTCTCTACTGCAGTTGAGCAATACAACTAGGTCACCTCCCCACCTCCAGCCTTTGATTGGCCAGTGAAGGACCAGATGGTGCATTCTACAGCTTGCTAAGTGAGGGAGTTATTTATAGAAATGCATATGGACTTTTATCAGTATAGATACCAACCTGTGTGCCTGATGTGCTGGTATGTTTTAGGGGAGAAGAAGTTATTTTCTTCTTAAAATAGCAGAAACCTGCAATTCACTAATTATTCATGGTGACAATGAGAACATTTTCTGCATTTATAAAACACATTCACCATCCTCATTCACTAACACGTTCAACAGATCAGGCCATATTCACAAAAATGTAACCACCAATTAGATTCCTATTTTCTTAATGGGACACTCAGGTCCTGTAAATCTTTACTAGAGATGCACAGATACAATTTTTTTCAGACCGAGTACGAGTACTGATACTTTTCCTCAAGTACTCGCCAATACCAATTACCAAATTACAAATACCTTTTTTATAGTGCCCTGTGACAGAATGGCACAGACTATAGAGGACAACAAATCTCAGCAGTACATTATACAGCAATGCAGTACATAATAAAGCATTATGCAGCAATGCAGAATACCATCAGTTATAGAGGACTACAAATCTCAGCAATGCATTATACAGCAATGCAGAATAATAACATCAGTTATAGAGGACTACAAATCTCAGCAATGCATTATACAGCAATGCAGAATACCACCAGATATAGAGGGCTACAAATCTCAGCAATGCATTATACAGCAATGTAGAATAATACCATCAGTTATAGAGGACTACAAATCCCAGCAATACATTGTACAGCAATGCAGAATAATAGTACATCTGGATCACATTTATATAATGGGCACTTTGCATTGTTCTATATTTTGAGATCACTTTATGTGATTAGGGTTGAGGGTGGGGTTTTGTAAATCATTGTCTGGATATGAATATTTAGCCGTTTGGTCAAAGTGTCAATCTTACATAGTCACATAGTTACATAGTATTTGAGGTTGAATAAAGACATAAGTCCATCAAGTCCAACCTATTGTGTGTGTGTGTGTATAGGTCCCTGTGTCATCTCATTCTTAAGAGTACCTGTACCCCTGTACGTTACAGTCTCTCAGGAAATCGTCCAAAAGCCTCTTGAATGATTCCAGACTATTTGCTGAAATCACTGCATGTGGCAGTGAGTTCCAGACCCTAACCGCTCGAACTGAGAAGAACCCCCTTCGCCCCTTGTGTTGGAATTTTTAATCTTAAAGAGTTTGTTGCTAATGTTGCTATGACCATTGAACATCTTGTACATGAAAGTCTTGAATATAGAGTTTGTTGATAACCTGTTCTTGCACTTTCACTGCATATGTTTTTCTAAAGTATGTAGAAACTGTTTTTGTTTGTTTTAAATAGAGTGGTTAGAACTAGGGATGCACCGATATTGGTTTTTCGGTATTGAGTATGCCAATCAACATCCTGCTGGATTCCCCACCAATCAGGAAGCCGGGCGGCGAGTATAGAATGTGATGACTCAAGGATCCTTAGAATGCAGCAGCAGAGGGGGAGTGACACAGCAGAAGTACCTCTAAAACACGTTGTCTAGTAATGCGGACTATGACTCCACAATCCAGAAGAACCCCATTGCTCTGCATTAAGGAGCGAGGAAGCTGCAGTCACACTGCTCTGAGCTGTACCCAGACCGCTTCCATTACACAAATTAATAAATGCACATGTTTTTCTTTCATCAATAGGGTTAGAGTCTTTATTATGATCTTTGAAGATCCTTGAGAATAAATGACTTTACCCTACAAGCAGCTAGAGAGGTGAATGAGGGCTGGTTTTAAAGTTATTTTACTGTATGTTAAGAATATATAAACTCTCAACTCAGCTTCCCTGAACTTCCTGTCCAGTACATGATCACAAAGGACAGAGCAGTCTCCAGCAGTTGTCCATCTACTAGCTTGGAGAAGGGGGCGGGGGGAGTCTTGCTGTGTCAGTGGATTAATTATTATTATTATACAGGATTTATATAGCGCCAACAGTTTGCCCAGCGCTTTACAATATAAGGAAGACATTACCAGGGGCGTCCCGAGGCCGGGTGTCTCTAGACTGGGTGACACCCCTCCGTGTCATCATCGTGCATGCTCGTGACGTCACCTCGCGCATGTGCAATCACGTCATCGCGAATGTGCAACCATCTGATTGACGCCTGCCGGCGGCCATCTTGGTGTTGGACGCCAGCAGAGAGAGGAGGTATGCCGCCGGGTCCCCTCCTCTCTCCTGACACTGTCGGGCTCTTGGTCCATGACCGAGTGCCTGACTTTTTAAAGGAGGTGACACCAAAATGACTGCCAGTCATTTTGGTGTCCCCCCTCCAATGTTATAATTCCAAAAGATGTCACCAGCACTCCAAAAGTAGATTCAATATATTTTAATGACAACGGTCATTCAAAATCACAAGTACTTTCGGGGCCACGTTGGTTCCCCGTCATCAGGCTCAGAACCTGAACACCAAGAGGACCCAACGTGGCCCCGAAAGTACTTGTGATTTTGAATGACCGTTGTCATTAAAATATATTGAATTTTGGAGTGCTGGTGACATCTTTTGGAATTACTACTTGACTACACGGTGCCTCCGTGGTCACTACAAGCACCCTATTACAGACATCATCTCCTAGGAGATCCGGTAAGGAGTGCAGGAAGATACACACAATTTTGTACCCCTCCAATGTTGACACCCCCCGCACCCCCCTTGTGACGCCACTGGTCATTACAATCACAATACAATTCAAGACAAGGTGGTAAGGAGGGCCCTGCCCCTGAGGGCTTACAATCTAAAAGAGAGGGGAAAGTGATACATGAGGAGGTAGCTGTGTGGGGATTAATTATTTGAGAAAGTGATAGTTCAGTGGTTAGTTTGAGGTGGGAAAGGCTTCCCTGAGGAGATGAGTCTTAAGGGATCGCCTAAATGCAGTCAGAGTGGGAGATAGTCGGACAGGTTGGGGTAAGGAGTTCCATAGGATGGGAGATCACACTCCTGGACTTTAATATGACTTTAATGTCTATAGCCCGGGCACAGGTGCACTTTAAGATATATATTCTCTGATCCCTGTTGTCATATAGTATGGTGTTTTTAATTTTTTTTTTTATATTTGATGATACCTTTCGTAAGGGAATACACAATATTCATTCTTTTTAGTTACATTGGATATATAAATGAATAAGGTTTATAGAATTCATGCTTTATGATTTTTTTTAGTTCACAACATTTGTGCCCCGTGTGGATTTGGTTCTTTCAAGCGAAATACTGTAAAAAAAAAAACTCACCCAATACTTCTAATATAATTGTGCCGGTTAAAGTTCCTCCTTCATTCACCACCTCGCACGTATAATTTCCTTCATCAGAGACTGTGATGTTCTCCAGGGTGAGGGTCACCCATTTCGTACCGATGTCCTGGTGCATGCGATTATTGCAGCCATTGTATGTCTCGTTTTTTGTTATTATGAATGACACGGTGCACAGAGGCTTGTCCAGATGCTGGACCTTCCAAGTAGACATCATGAAATCCCTTCCCCGTTCTTTTGGGCATGTTAGAGTAGTCGTGTTTCCTACGTGAACTAGTCTATAGACATCTAGAAAAGAAATACAAGTATTATTATAATACAGGATTTATATAGCGCCCACAGTTTGCGCAGCGCTTTACAATATAAGGAAGACATTACAATCACAATACAATTTAAGACAAGATGGTAAGGAGGGCCCTTCCCCTGAGGGCTTCCAATCTAAAAGGGAGGGGCCAGTGATACATGAGGAGGTAGATGTGTGGGGAAGTATATGGAGAACATTTAGCATACCAGTCCATGTTATCAGCGCTTTCCTACATACAGTAGGAAGGAGGAGCTATATCATTCCCTGTTATTAAAAGTAAACCCATTTGAAACATAAAGTGTGGTTGGGTGAGGGATGCCAAAAAACTTTAAAACAAACATTCAAATAATGATGTGGGGTCAAGTTGATTAAATTTGTGTTTTTATTTTACAGTTATAAGTTTTTAAACTGCTGTATTGTATCTCTTTTATCCTGGTGCTGTCACAGCCATTGCTATTTCTGCTACTGTCATTACAGCGCTATGTATTGCATCGCATATTATTATGTTGTAGTGTACGCCTGACATCTAGTGGTAGATTAGCACTACTACAACCTGTTTTTGTGCGCACATTTGTTATTTTCCTGTTCTCCCTTCCGGTTCAGTTAGCATAATCTTCCCTTCTTCCATGTTGTCCTCTCAGTCAGTGGCGTCACAAGGGGGGTGCGGCCCGCACCCGGGTGACACCATTGGAGGGGTGACACCAAAATGACTCACAGTCATTTTGGTGTCACCCCCCTCTGAAAAGTTGTGCGCTCGGTCATGGACCGAACGCCCAACAGTATCAGGAGAGAGGAGGGGACCCGGCGTCATACCCTATCCCGCCGGGTGACTGTCCCCTCCTCTCTCCAAGATGGCCGCCGGCAGGTATCAGAATACTGCCGCGCGTGCACGATGACGTCATCGCGCACACGCGTTGTGACGTCATGCGCATGCGCAGTGACGTCTCGGCGGGGTGACACTCGGTTACCGCTCCGGGTGCCACCCAGCCTCGGGACGCCCCCTGCTCTCAGTTTTTTGCTAGCTCTGTAAATAGCTTTGAGGAGTAACACTGCATTGGATTAAGCTTCTGCCTCACAAAATAATAATAGAACTGATAATAATAATTAGGGATGACCCGATACCGTTTTTTCGGCATCAAGTACCGATATTTTTTTTTCCAGTACTCGCCGATACCGAATACAGATACCGGAAGTCCCATTAAGGAAGCCAGGCGGCGTGTAATAACTCGCCACCTGTCTTTCTGATAAGCCGTGAAGCTGGGCTGCGTGTAAAGACCCACCACTCGGGTTCCGGATTAGCAGGGAAGCCGTCCTCATGCTTCTCGTCACTAGGTGATGAGAAAGCATGAAGCCGGCTTTCTGGCCAATCAGGAAGCCGGGCGCCGTGTAATGACACACATGGAGTGTGTCATTACACACTCCATGGAGTCCTGTTTTAACAGAGCAGCAGCTGCCTTAGCCGAGGTTGCCTCTCACCATTAAATCTTTAAACCAGGTAGCTAATTAAAGACAAATACACACACTCCCTCCCTTCTAACAGAGACTGGAGCATCTGGAGAAGTCAATTAGACACAGGCTGCCAACAAGCATCCTGGAAGGTCAATAATTATTAAATACAACTTTTTAAATATTATATTTTATTTCAATATTTTATGTATTATATTCATCATTATTTTAATTCTTAACATATTTATAATATTTTCAACACTTAAAAGAAAACAAAAACCACTACACTTTATTCGGACTTGACTGCTGTCAGTGACTTGGGTGTGAATTGTGCGCTTGGCTCCACATATGCAACAGGTGTGACACCTAAAATAAGTCAGCAGCACAACCTACATACATCTCAGCGTAGATTTCCTTTAAGTCGCCTTTGATCTTTGCTTGTCATGTAAAGTTTTCCGCTCGTGACACATATAGTTAAAACACCGGTGTTAGTTGCAGATTATTATTGACTCATTCTTCATAGTGGGATTCCCCGGCTGTCAGTAATAACATTATTGCTTCATCAAGGTATATTTGTTGTCTATATTTTTCCCCCATCGATGTTTTTATGTAACTTTTTTTAAATTATATTATTTTATATGATTTAGAATGTTAAAGGAGAACTATGGGGTCAGGGCTTTTCCCCACAGTTCTCCTTAGGGTAACGGGAGGACACAAACTAGCGTCCTCCCGTCACCCTAAGCTCAGTATACCGCCAGCTACAGCTCCCGGTATACTGAGACGCCACAGCTGAAACAGATCCCGACAATTATCTCTGGATCCGCCCAGCTGCGTGAGTGACAGCTGGCTCTGCCTATCTAGAGGCAGAGCCAGCTGTACCCGCCCCCTCCCCCGTCCGTTCCGCCAGTCAGCACTGAAGGATCGGAGGGGGGAATCCAGCCCCTCCCCTGTCACGGCTCTCTGCAGGGACAGGATCGAGAAGTGAGCGAACGCCGGTATGTGTTTGCTCACCTCCCGATCTACTGAGCCGACCTTTGACAGTCTCATTGTCTCAGGTCGGCTAGAACTATGAGGCTGAGTGAAAAGCACTCACCTCATAGTTCTCCTTTAAACATATATTTGTATGTAGTACAAAAGCACCATTGGTCCTCACAGGGAAGAAATGTCTGAAAGCGCTGCATTCTGTGCTGCCATCAAGCTTACCAAAAAAACATGTTCACTTTTATTGTTGAACTTTTCCCGAGCGGCAGTTTTGATTTTTGTTCAGCAAGGAACATCAATTTATTTTTAGAAATTCAGAGCCGCCCTGTGCACGCTTCCGGTTTTATCTCAAAGAGGCTATTCAGTCCTCCTAGTTCCTGTCTTGGACTACTGAAAGATTAGCCTTTGTAGAGATCTGAGAGTGGGAGTGGCTTAAGCAAAAGACAATAGGCAGGGCTGACACCACTCAGTCTGTAACGGTCCATATGAGCTAAGAGCATTTCGAGCAGGTGAACAAATATTTTTCTCTACGTGTTGGTTTTTAAAGGGATAGAACCTGGGACATAATCCAGATACTGTACCGCGATCTATTACTATTTATGTAAATCCTTTCTATATCCACCACACCAACGCGTTTCACATTTATAATCCCTGTTACGGATAGACCATGTATGTTTTATCATAAGGCTTCTTCTCGTTCACTGTCCAGAGAGAACCAGGAGCCTGCTCGGGGGCAGCAGGGGTGTTGAATTCCTATCTCCCGATGCCCGGGACATGCAGTTCCGGGCACCGGGCGGGTAGTTGTTTTCTACATTTAGCCCTGCTTTGGGCAAGCAGAACTAAATGAACAACGGGGACGCCGCCCCTTGGCTTGACTTGGCGATGTCACTGAGACCACTTGTATGCAACCTGCAGGTCTGCAGCACCCCTCCCATCCTTCCCTATGGACAAAAGGAGTTCACAGTAGTCCTCTACCGCTTCTGTTGTCCTGATACAGTCTAATGACGGAACGAATGCAGACGCCACATCTAGGGACCGATAAGCTGCAACCATTCCTGGGTTTGGATTCACTTGAACACACCGTATGCCCACCGTGCTTTCACTTGCAGGCTGATTGCATCATATCACTGTTGTCTGCCCACCACTTGCAGTGTAACAGTCAGGTTATGTTATGAACACGTCAGCTACAGATACGCTGGTGACTGATTTCCCAGGAACAAACAGAAACGCCGTTCTCATACACAAACCCGTATAAAAGGCGCTGGAAACTATTATCGGAAAATCTGTGCAGCAGCAAGACACTCACCGAGATCTACATCAGTATTGAAGGTGTTTTAAAACAGTTGTAGCGGCTCCTCTCATGGACTCTAATGGCTTCTTCTGATATCACTGCACACTGCGAGCTTCTCACAATGTGCAGAAGCTGCAGCAAGTCCGATAGAGCTCCGCCTCATTTCCTGGCTGGAGGACACTCAGCATTATTCAGCCCAGGGTTAGGCAACCTTGGCACTCCGGTTGCAGTCAGTCTTACAATGCCTCATAGGACTTATTGTTCCACAACAGAGTGCTGAGGTTGCCTACCCCTTTCCCCCCCAGCCTGACTGTCCCTGGCCCACCCCTTACATTCATTGGATTTCAGTTGTTTCAATAATGGAGGCTCAGCGTCACATGTGGGTGTTACCCAGGCCGGTCTTTATGCAAATTTACCCTGCCTATGAACGCCCACTTCTCCAGACGTATAATACATCCATTATACGTGGAACGCACTGTGTCTGGTGTGAAGGAACCCTTAGGCCCCATTCACACTGAGCGATTTATCGCGCAGGAATTCCCGCGATATCGCGGCTATTTACCGTGCGATATCGCTCTCCAATGCATGGCAATGGGGCTCTGTCCGTCGCTGTCGCGGGTCGTGCGTTGCTACAGCAGGACCCTTTTTGGAGCGGCTTTTGCCGCGATTCTAGCTTGCTCAATGCAACCATTTGCGCGATATCGCGCGACAAACGAGCGATATCGTGCAAAATGCAAATCGCGCGACAGACGCGCGATTTGCGAATCGCTCAGTGTGAATGGGGCCTAAGTCTTTACGTTTTCACTAGACCATGACCATTGCAACCGCGATCATGCTTCATGTTACACCCTGAATATGGAGGTAACATAATGAATAGTCTAAAAGGAGCCCGGGGGGTAAGTGGCTACATAAAGAACAATTCTACTATAAGAATCCTTTATATATCCTTTAATTTCACTTAAAGTGTTTTTCCACTTGGGCAGCCATATTGGAATAACACCTATCTTATTTTTGTTACATGTTCCCAATCACATTGCATAAGTAAAACGCATTTTTTTTAAATGCCTCTTACAGTTTAAACTGCTTTTCCTTGGGTTAGGGTTTCTTAAGAGTAAACATTTCTATTTTGTTCTCTTTCTTTTGTAATGTTAGGGAGATCTGTGAGACGTGAGTCGTGAGGGGCTTTCTCCATT